CAATCAAAATTGAAAATAATGCATTACTTAACCTTGGCACATGCACACCATACCTAGACATCCTCCCTACAAAGAAGATGGAATGGCTAACCCAGAAAACGAGGGACACACGGCCACCATGTTCAATCAGCACCTCCTCCAACACAAAATGGCTTCCTGCACAACTTGCCAACTTGGGAATGCATTTCATGGGCAATCATTCAATTACAGCAATCAAGCAAAGCCCAAGAGAAAAGGTTGAACATGCCTCTCGCCCAAGCTCGCTGACAGAAATTGAACTGAAAGGAATGAAAGTAAGTTAGTCGAGATGCAGTCGGGAACTATTATGATGAATAGCAGATTGTCTCTTGATGTACAGTGGATTCACCGATTCTTTTAGGTTTCTGCTGTCCACATGTTTGCGTGGAAATAATATTATTTTCTAGACAAAGTGTTTGCATGGAGTCCTATAATCTTTACCCTTTTTCTTGAGCTGTCCACGATATTTCTCCAATGCCTTTTAGTTTTTTATTTTATTTTTAATGTAAGGTAGCATTTCGATACAACGTGAATAAAAACCAGAGTTTTTCATCCCTCAAGAATACAATCCTAGACTCTGGCATTTCTAAAAATTTCATTAACAATTTATTCAAGGTTTAAACTGACCTCTAGCTAGAAAAGAATATATATCTAAGCAAAAAAAAAAATTAATTTAAAATTAGCTACAAAGATAATTAAAATAGCAAAAAATGTCATATTTTGAGTTTAATTCAAGGTCTTGGAGACCGGTCAAGTATCCGAGCAATACTTCAGTATAATTATACATGCAAAATCATTTAATAAAATCTAAATCCGATTAAACAATCAGATTTAATGTTATGACTGTTTTTTTTTTATTAGAATACTTTTGAAGGCTTTTTGCAAGTTTTAATTCATCTATTTAGTACATGAATATATTCATAAATATATCACATTTGGTTCGGGTACATGATAAAATATGCATGCATAAGACAAAATAAACCATATTTTGTTAGCAACGACGAGATAAAATTCAAAATCATCCCTGTCTCAAGATCAAAAATGAATGAAATTTGCTATACTCTTTTTTTTCTAGAAGAAATGCGGGGCAAAGACGGGGATCGAAAAATTAATAAATAAGAGGAGGAATACAAGGAAAAGGGAGAAAATTGCGGTGACAATTTTTTCCACGACAATAATAAGGGTGTTTTTGGTATTGAGGTTGCTATTGTAGTTGTGGTTTTAAAAAAGTTGTTTTAAAAAAAACACTTTTAATTGAGGTTAGTTTGGAAAAATATATGTTTGGTTAAAACTGTGGTTGAAATTGAGGTTGAACAAAAGGCAGTTTAAAGTGTTTGGTAACCATTTATGCAGTGCAAACTGCGTTTTCAAAAAATGTTAATATGTTTTTTCAGAATAAAATTTTTTAATTTGATTTTTCTACGTTCCAGATCGTTGTCGTGTGCCAGTCGCAACAATAATTTTTTACAACGTGAAAAAAATATTATATTACTGCTTCGTTAATGAAAAGCTTTATAATCCCATACAAGCATTAAGTACTGTTATTACATCATTAATCAAACAAGACATTATATAAATTCTGCTTTATTGTTCCATCAAACTATTTGCAATCTCATCACGTACGAAATTCATCCTACTTTGCCTACTGTTTCCAATGCTTTCAGAGCGTGCTACAACATCTGGTAAAATATCATCAGGTACATAACTGGGATTGCGATCAAATTCCGCAAATGCAACATCATCATGCGATCTTTTTCTAATGTAATTATGTAGTGCCATTGATGCAACTACAAATTCAACTTGCATTTTGTATGGATAAGCATATATGTTTTGTAAAATCCTCCACCTTTGTTTCCATACTCCAAAAGATCGTTCAATGACATTACGTAGCGATGAATGTGCACGGTTAAAAACTTCTTGCCGATTTCTAGGTTGTCCACGACACCTAAAATCTTGTAAGTGATATCTCTCACCTTTATATGGACCTAAATAACCATACTCATTTGGATATCCAGCATCAATCAAATAGTATTTACCTATAATTAAAAACAACATCAAAATTTGTCATGTAATTAGTAAATAAAAAAACAAATTTTATACCTAAGAACATAACAAGTTATGTTGTATACCTACCTTCTGGTGGTGTAGGGAATTTTATATTTATATTCTTAATAGCCTCATGAAAAATACGTGTGTCGTGAGCACTGCCTTCCCATCATGCCTACACAAACATGAATCGCATGTCAAAATTACAAGTCGCCATTATGTTTTGAGTCGGAACACCTTTTCTTCCGATAAATGGAATTTGATTTTCAGTTGATATACAAGCCCGCACATATGTTCCATCAATTGCACCAATACAATTCTGACAACAAAAAAAAACAAAAACCATTGACAATATGATATTGTTATTTACTAACATGCATAAATCAATTTTTGAATTGAATACTAACAATAAAAACACAAATATTTTTCGTACCTTGAAATGCAACATATATTTAGGATCTATTGCAATTTCTCGTGGAGTGCTTGTAAAACTTGGGTCATCTGGTTTTATGACATCGACTGCAAACAAACATACAGCTGCGAGGACTTCTTTAATGCATCTACTAATAGTTTCCCCCGAATGTTGAAATCGCTCTTGCACCTCCCTATTTGAAGCTCCTAGTGCTATTGTATATAGAAATATTGCAACTTTTTCAATCACACTCATCCTTCTTGAAGGCTTCAACCCATACGTTGTTTCTAAATCACTGCCAAGGCTCATCAAAGTTGATGTGCCCATTCTAAACATGTTGACACATCGTTGCTAATGTCCTCGTAAAACTTCAGTTAACCAACGCATACCTGTATTGTATGAAACCATGCATGGTTCTTTATGTATATGATTAACATAATACATGTTTAGTGCCCTAGCTGTGCACACAACTAACTTTTCCCTATCAAATTCTCGCTTCCAAAACAATTCTTCATCAGCATCACTATCATCATTATCGTCATCGTTGTCGTCATCAGTGTCATCGTTGTCGGTGTCGTCGTCGTCATCACCATCCCCTCCCGAGCCACCGTTGTCATCATCACCATGATAATTAACGTGATCAACAACACGATCCATTAAGTTATCATAATCATCATCAAGACCTTCATTGAATATTGCATTTAAACGTGCTTCTTCCATATGTATAATCCTAAATAAATAAACACTTAAATCATGTTAAACAATTTTTTTTTCTCAAATAAAACACAATGTCTAATGTGATACCTGCATGATTAATTTTATATCAAATAACTATTATATTATACTACTTCACACTAAACAAAAATATTGAATTAAAGACGATGAGGGCAGACGATTGCATAGCAACGGCGAGGCAGGTTGGTTATGGTGGCCCTGTTTTTTTCTGAATTTGCTCTACTTTCTTCTCACTACCTCTGCTGCGGTTTTTCCTTGCTGCACTTGTTTCTCCCTGCTCTTGGTGGTGCTGTTGTTGGCGACGATGAGGGCAAACAATTACTGTGATGGCAATGAGGAATGTTGGTGGTGGTTGCCCTCTGTTTATCCCGTGGCTGCATTTTCTATCCGCTGAGTTTGTTCCCCTACATTTCTATATTCGCTGGTTGCCCTTTGTTTTCTCTTCTTTTAATTAAGCATTTCTGTGTCTACATTTCTGTGAGGTTGCTTCTTCTTTTCCCAAATTATTTTGTTCCAGCATTGTCATAGAGGCTCGGTATTCAACAAGCCGTGTTAATTACCTTTTCTCTTCTGTAAACTAAAGTGCAAGGTGAGTAACAGTTTATCGTAGTGTACCATAACTTGTTTTTGCATGTGAATTATATTTTGGAATTATATTTTGAATCTTGTATTTGTTTGTATCTTTACTTTTTTTTTTTCTTATGTAACGAAAGTGAAAGGTTGGGAGCGGTTTACCGCAGTGTACCACTTAGCTTGTTTTTGCATATGAATTGTATTTTAAATCCTTGTATTTTTTCGTTTCTTCACGTTTTATTTTCTGTAACCAAAGTATGTGCAAAGCAAGAGTAGTTCTATTACAGTGTACTAGTTAGCTAATATTTACATGTGAATTATATTTTGAATTCTTGAATTTTTTATTTCAAAATTTTTAATATGTTTTACATTTTGTATATTTTTCCCCTTATTGTTAATGCACATTACGTGTATTTAGAAATATAAATTAATAGGTTAACAAGCTTCTAAACTACAATTTATATTTCTAACCCAAATCAAAACAAAAAAAAAGTTGATTTATCTTTTAAAATGAATGTATAATTGGCTTTTCCAAGCAGTATAATTTATAATTAAGCAATATTAATATCAATAATTTAACAATCATTTGTTTGCATTTTCTACCGGTTGCATTCAAGCATGCATATTTTGTAAACTATAAAAGCATTGTCCACATCATATTACATTACAAATACATAGAAACTTTCAGGATTGCAATTCATAATACGTAGAACGTATCGAATAACACTACAACTTTTCGAACAATTCTGGCTGATTATCATCTTCAGATCTCTGAAAAAATACATAATTGTCAAGACATTTTAAAACATGTTAGATAACAATTTAGATAATAATATTATCAATAAATTTATAAAAGCATGCATTCGGGATCAATAAATACCTCCCCGTCTATGGTACCTCACGCCGTGTAAACATTTTCTGCAACCATTTCATCTTGTTTTCAAGACTACCCATACTGAACCATATTTCTCTATTCCTTCTCATACCCAAGAACTCAGTAGCATACGTATGAAAATCATCACCAATATGAACTCCTTCTATTGAGTGCAGCTCAGTCATAACCTCAAGAATACTACACCCTTTCTTATCTCTACATATAGATGTGGAATCACTATTGTTTGACATACTTTCAACCATATTATCAAACCGTGATAGTAGCTGCATCCCAATTCCAGAACTTCTTTTCTTTTTCCTGATTGAACGTCAAGATGTTGTCTTTCTTTTCTCTTTCCACTACTGCGTGTGTTGCTACTGCTTGACATATTAACCCCTCTAACCATGTTGCACACATCATCGGTGAAATTTAGAATTCCATCGTCTTCTGAATCACCGCTTCCTTCTTCCAAATCAGGTTGTTCGTCATTGGCATTTGGATCCTCAACAACACCAACATTATCATCACGACGAATTCCAACTGATGGTGCCCATGCATACTATCCAGTAGCAACAATGTTGGTGAACATTCTGTCGAACTTCAACCGTAAAGACGGTTCGATACCTGCTTGCCTAAACTTTTTTGCACCTCTTATTTCCTACACAAAACATTTAGAATTATTTAATGTATCTTGCCTAAATATTTTGGTAATTACTGAACTGAGATTTAACGAAATTAAAAATTAAGGAGCAGCAAAATAACCTGAATTTTTATTTTCCACCACTCATCACTTGCGGAAATTGTCTCTAATTCTGCACTCCAGCCCACACCAGTTTCTGAAATGAGCTTCGTCCATATCCTCCAATCCTTTTTGCAGCCATCCCATTTGTTCTTCAGTTGTGCCTTTATGAATGCGTGATCAGTTATTTCTTTGAAAGATGTTTGCAAATATTTCCAACTGGCCTTATCGAAATGAGTATTCGGTCTCATTCCCATGTCAATGGCCTTGATGCAAAGGTCACAAAAGACATGCAACATTTCTTTATTCCAGGCAGCTTTATCAATAATTTCTGGATTATCCATTCCTATTTGGATAACATATTTGCAAGCAAACATCATGAATTTTTATAACATGCTAATCATTTGCGTAATATTGGAAGGAAGTTTATATGACATGCAATAGTGTACTATAACTAGTACTGTAAAGAACAATTACATTCAAAGTTGATTATATTATACTATTTTGAACTTATTATATTGTGTAAAGTTCTCCATTCACTTACAAGTGATTACCATTCCATAACAATTATAGTCATTCCATACAATATGTATGTATCCTACAAACAGCACACATCAATACTGCACATCTTCATACATCATCAAGGTAATTGAAATTCATTAGTAGTCAGCTCAGTTTCCAGCCGAAAGCATAAACATATCAAACAGATTCTAAACATTTTTTTTTCTATGACCATCACCTCCTAGTTCTCAAATC